ATGAAACTTAGTTGACTTTTATTTGTATTTCATAACCATTCAACAAATTTATTTTGTGTACATTATTATAATCACTACTGAGTACAGTAATAATCAACAATTCAGAAACTCAGCATGCCGAGATTTTTGTGTTCGTTTTTATTTGAAACTTCGTTTATTTAGAATATATTTTCGTTACCAATAAAATAAAAATCTCTCAGTCAATCAGAAACCCGGATTCATGCCTTCGAGGAAGGTCCCGTTTGAAAGCTCACATCGGTTTTTTTTTTCGTTTGGGGGAAAACTTAAACTGGTCGCAATTTTCGAATAAGAATGAGTCGGCAATTTTTAGTGGAGTCGAAAATTTGGAGGTACATGTAAATAAAACACCGAAACCCGGCAAATAAATAGCCAATCGAATTTTTAGAGGGGTCGAAATTTTGGAGTTTTCAGTAGAAGTAAACCTCAAACAAGTGTGTAAGAAGAAATATTTATTTTTGCATAAAGAATTCTAAAATGGTTTATGCACTAAGATTAATAATAATTTACTATTCACTAGTGTCCGTCAGCTAGGCAATTTCTATGATTGATCATCTGAATACAGTTTGTGTCTCTGTCTGTTTACAGCTAATTACTATCAACAGTATGGAATGATGCAGCAATATTCATATGGTTATCCAAATTTTCCTGTGCCTCCGCCACCTCCACCACCACCTGGAAGTTATGGATATTATCCTGGTTTTCCAGGGCCTGTAAGTCTATCTATTATGAGCTTTCTGGTTTCATGTACTCCAAATACTGAATAACAGTTTTGCCATGAATGTCAGTGAAAATTGCAAAATGTTGTAGCAGTGAAAATTTCACTGTTGTCACAAAATTTTGTCTTCACGAATGCCATAAAACAACAAAATTGCTGGCAGTGAAAATTATGAGGTTTACAGTTAGGTTGCAAAGTCTTGGTAATTTTTAACAAATTCCTTCATATTGCTTTTCACAGAATATGCCACAATTTTCAGTACAGCAAGGTGGATATCCACCACAGCATCAACAACAGCAATGGCAGCAGCAGCAACAACAACAACAACAACAACAACAGCAACAGCAGCAGCAGCAGCAAGAACCAATGCAAACAAATGATAACACATCTGAGAAAAGACCTTCATACTCTGATGCTGCCAAAGGAAAGAGTCATAACAATAATTGGGGAAATCAGCAAAACGGCAATACAGAATGTAAGTAACTTGCATCTTGTCAGTTAACAATGAGCTCATTAATGTTCTTTCTATGGTTGCTTTTCAATCACATTCGTAATTTTACAAATTTCTTTTCTTTTTATACACTAGCATCAGTAACTATAGGAGTTCGTTTTAGTATTCCTAGTAAACGTTCCCTGTCAAATTCGCCTGTAGCTTCCTCTGATAAAACAGATGCAGGTATACTTCAAAATAGGTAAGTGTTTTTATCAAACTATATTTTATTTCCTTGTAGATTCCATACATACAAGTTGTACAAAATGATATTTTATGTGGATTTTTGGTTCCCTTGTGTGAGCCAAATAATTTGCATAATAATTAGTGTATGGTGTCAGTCTGTACATGGGAGACGATCAGTTATAACGCAGAATTGTGTGACGGCTATGTAGATGTATAGCGATTCACCAGGCCATTCAGAATGACTGGTTTCCAGTTTCAATTTCTGTGGGTATTATTACTTACAATGCTGCGGATCAAATTGTTTTCTGATTGTGAAAACTCTAAAAGATCTCTAAAAGCATTCTTAAAATGCATCTTGTATTGGGCTTCTTAAATTTTGAATTAATTTTAAATATTCCCTATTTTTGACTCCCATGTGCGAAGCACAAAATGGGAGTCTTTGCAGTTAGTGTGTGTGTATGTGTGTATGTGTGTGTGTATGTGTGTCCGACTGTTCCACTGCTATCTCAAGAACCATACATCGGTTTTTGATGAAACTTGGTGCATAGATGCTCTGGGCCAATGCGCAGATTTGATTAGGTTTTGGTAAAAATCCGTGCATATTAATTACCTAATTTACATGATAATTAGCTATTTTTTAGTGGTTCCATGACTGTTCCACTGATATCTAAACAACCACTCATTGGATTTTGATGAAACTTGGTACATAGATGCTCTGAACTAATGCTAGGTTTTGATTAGTTTTTGGTAATAATCCGTGGATACTAATTACCTAATTTGCATTAGTCAATTTTCGGTTTTTCCACTGATATCTCAAGTACTAATCATCACATTTCAAATGAAACTTGGTACATAGATGTCATACGACACTGCACAGACCTGATAGTTTTTATGGTAATATCAGTACATATTAATTACCTAATTTGCATAATTAATTAATTTTCAGCATTTGATATAAGTAGTTAGCATTACATTTCAATGAAACTTGGTACTTACATACTCAAGGACTATGCAGAGATTGATTGTTTTCGATAAATATTTGTGCATATTAATCACCTAATTTGCATAATTAGTTAATTTTCAGCTTTTCCATGGGTATCTCAAGTACTAATCAT